CTGGCGGCCCGGCAAACCCGCCGCCCGTCGCCGCCGCCAGGAGGCAGCCTGACCTCTCACAGCTCTTGGTGCCAGGGGGCTCTTCCACGAGATCTCCAAGAATCGCTCCTGCTACTTCACAAACTCCTCTCCCCTCAAGTCATCCTCTTCTTTCCAGCCTAGGCCTCCTTCCTCTCCAGGGCAGTCTCCTGAGATCTTTGACACCCAGGTGCAACCTTTTTCCTCCCCTGCTCTAAACCCTTTCTTGGCTCTTCAGGGGCTGGCATTCAACCCTGGCCTGGTTGGAGCTGTCCTCCATGGCACCCTTCTGCCAAACTTAGGCTCTAGTGTCAGCTTCAGCCTCAACTAGCCACTCAGAGGTCATGCACTTTCACCCTCCTGGCCTTTGCTCCCGTACTGCCTTGGCCTGGATCGCCCTTTCCTTTCACTACCCTGAAATCCACTCATTCCTCCTGCTTCTTCAGCTCAAATGTCCCCTCCAATGAGAAGCCTTCCTGAACCTCCCTCATCACCTGGCATTGAGCAAGAGTTGTCTCTATTCTCTGGATTCCCCAGACTCTGTACCTCTGTCATCCTTGCCTGTGCCTGCAGCCACATCTGCCTTCCCCACCCACTTACCCCCAGGACTGCTCAGCCTGGGCCTGGTGGAAGAATAAGGAGGAACATCTGGTGGTAGAGATGGGGTTCACTGAGACAAAACAAATTCTGTTGGGCAGGATCTGGATTTGGGGAGTCAGGAGACCCTTGGCCCCTCTTTGGGCCTCATTTTCCCCACCTGCTTGGTCTCTGAGGTCCTACTTGTTGGGGTGGACTACATGTGGGGCTCAGTTAAATGGAGCTGGCGCCAAATGTGTCTCCTGAAAGGTGGTGGTGGAGAGGGGATATAGGGTGATCTGGGTCATGCCCTCTAGAAGGTGGGTGGGCACAGGAGCTGCTTTCCTACCACTCCCCCATAGCCGGATCTCCTAGCTTGGCCAGCACAGCCCCCACCTTCCTGCCTGTCTTGGAAACAGGTGCTTGGGTGTAGATAGGTCTGCAGATGGCTCCTGACATCTCTCAGCAGGGTTCAGGGACAGTAGTGGGCAGTTAGTTTGTCTCAGGCCTGGACAACCTCCCAACACTCTCCAAGAAGGAAGTAAGGGACCTGGTGCTTAGCAACTATCCACTGATTTCAAGGAACAAAGCACCTGATGTGCACAGGGTTGGGGCGGGGGGCCAGAATGGAGGCCAAAAGTTGGTCTAAAGAGTGGGAGAAGGGGAGCCAGGGGATAGGTTAAGGCTGGCACAGAGGGCCAAAACAGAGAGGGTGGGATGAAAGCTCAGATAAGGACTGATGTCTATGGAAAAACAAACCAAGAATTGTAGAGAGAGCCAGACTCAGACAGACAGAAGTCCAGAGAGAGGAACTCAGGCCCAGAAATGGACAGAGACAGACATAGGAAGCCATGGGAGAGACAGATGGGCAGACAGACCCAGGAGAAGGGGCACTGCCTGTCATTACGGGTAAGCCAGGTTGATCCTGGGAGCTGAAAGGGAGACTGTGCCAGGAATTGGGCTGAAACATCTGGCCTCCTGGGCTGGGGCTGCAGGCCCTGGGGCAGCTTCCTCTCCTGGGGAGTAGGGGGGAACAGTCACAGGGAGGTGGCAATGGCAGCTGGCTGGCTTGGCCATGCGCAGAATGCAGAGAATGCCTCCCGCCTGCCCCGGCATGTCCTCCAGCGGAAGCAAATGCCTGGCAGGGGGCAGGAGCAGGCAGGCTGCCCAGCCACCCCCTCACACCTGCTGCCCTGAGTGAGGGTCAGGCTCTGGCATGGGCAGGCAGAAGGGGCCAGGACTATGCCTTCACTATACCACTGGGTACTGTCTACCCTATCTGGGCCTCCAAGAGAGAAGGCCCCGAGGTGCCACCTCCCAAGGGTTTAGGGAGGACTCTGGGAGGACAAAAGGGCCCGCTGACTGGGAACCCGAGGGCAACCTGGATACCTCAGCATGGGTGTTGTCGAAGAGGCGCGGCTCAGAACCGCCAGGACAGGCACTGGACAAGTCCTGACGACCAGGTGGCCTCCAGCAAGGGGCCTCCCCCTTCAATGAACCTCAGATTTCCCCGACAACGAGGCTAGTAATTCCTACTTCATAGCATTGGGTGGATTCGATGAGGATGGCCCCACACCTGAGGCTGGGCACATGGTACATGCTCAATAAAGAGTGGTTACGATTATTTCTTCATCATTATTATTGAGAGTGCTTAAGAGCCTGGGCTGTGGAGCCAGACAGCCTGGGTTTAAATCCTGCTCTTTCTTATCCTAGGCTGTGTGATGTTGGGCAAGTCCAGAGCTGCAGTTTCTTCCTCTGTCCATTGGAAATAATAAGCGTCCTGACCTCCTGTGAGGTTACGAGGATTCAGTGAGTAAATAGTCAGCACCTACTGAGGAGTGGGCCAGGCACATGCATGGGTAATACTCAAATTATTACTATGACTTCTGATAGGAAGAGTCCTGTAATCTGGAGATTGGGAGACTTGGTTCAAGGCCCAGTCCTGCTCCTCCCTGGCAGGGTGAACTCAGTCAGGACTCTTGTTCTGTCAGGGCCTCATTTTTCCTCACCTGGAAAATGGTGGCAGGAACCACTGCTGGGCCTGCCCTTGTAGGCCTCAGGTCACCTGCATTAGTGCCATCGCTCCCCACAAGGCAGTAGTGAGGGTCATGTGAGGTGATGCTACCAGGGCAATGTCTGGGGCCGTAGGCATGTGGAAAGTAAGGGGGTGGAGGGGTGTTAAGAGTCCTTCTGCTTCAGTTTCTTCATCTGCCTAAGGACAGAAATCCCTGCTGTGCCCACTTCTGTGGAATTTTGCTCATATCAATTACAGTAACAAATGTAAAAACTGTAGGAAGTATGGAAAAAAACACAGCTCATGACCTCAGTATATGAGCATGGGAGGTAAGCAGAGCCTGTGTCCCTGTGCCCTGGCTCTGGGTTGCAGCTCTATGAGGGCAGGGCTAAGCTCCTTCCTGTATTGGTCTCTGCCCCAGCCCAAGCCACAGCAGCTCCTTCCTCCCTGTCTCCTTGCCTCTAGAATAGCCATGGTCAGATGGGCTCAGAACCTTCCATGGCTCCCTAGTGGTCTCAGGATCAAGTTCTCACGTCTCATAAGGGCCCTCTATCATCTGACCCTTGCTCACCAATACAGTCGCACATCCCAACACTCATCCACCGTCTGCAGCCAGTCTTTGCAGATTCAACTTCTTTCAAATACTTGCTTTCACCCCAAGGCCTTTGCTTCTGCAGGTTCCCTTTGCCTACAGGTTCTCCTGCTGGTCTTGGCACTCACTTCTGCACACCCTTCAGGTCTCACTTTACAAGCCCTTGGCCCCTGCAAGAAGTCCTCCCCAACTTCGCACAGCCTCCTGGGCCTCCCCCTATCCCTGCCCTGACCATTCTGGACAGTCCGTCTGGGCAGTCTGTCTATACCAGGAATGGTGAGCCCTCTGAGGGCAGAAGTGTATCCTCAGCACCAACCAGCACAGGACCAGGCACAGAAGGGCGCTCAGCCAACAGTGGATTCTTAAAAGAAGCTAGGGAAGGGGCTGGTGATGGGTCTGTCACCCTCCCTGAGAGTTGCTCTGACAAGGCCCAGCCTCACCTGGACCCCTATCTCTCCAGCACCTTCTCAGAAACGCTACTCTGTCCACCCCTGGCCTCAGCCCTCCAGCCACACTGGCTTTCTTCAGCTGTGCTCCTTCTGGCCTTGGAACCTGCTTTCCCACTGGCCACCTAGGAAGCTCTTCAGCTCCATGGTTGCTGGTTCCAGCTCATTCTTCAACTCTTGCCTTACACGCCCTGTCCTGAGGGCAGCCAGACTAGATTCATACCTGGATTCAAACCAGGGCACAGTGCCCAGCACACCCCCAGCTCCCCCTCTAGGGCACTGACAGCACCTGCGATGTTTACTGGGCACCATGGTGAAGATGGGACCTCCAATCCTGGTCTTGCCACCTCCCGGCAGAAGAACCTACCGGAGTCTCAGTCTTCCCATCTGTAACCAGCACTATGGTCCAGTGGTCAAGAGCAGCCTGGGTTTGAAGGCTAGCTCCAGGATTCACTAGCCACATGACCCTGTGCAAGTTACTAACCTGACCTGTTTCCTCTCCAGGAGCACAATCATAGCACCCACCTGTTAGGGTTGTTGTGAAGACTAAAGGGGCTAATATCTGAAAAGGGCTTAGAGCAAGGCCCGTATGTTGAGGGCTACATCATGGGGTGGGTGTGAGGGCTCGGCAAGATAACCCATGCACAGTTCTTACCATAGTAACCCCCCCAATCACGATGAGAACTGTCATCATGATTATCCTGTTACCCAAACAGCTCCACTCAGGAATGGTTCCATGGACCCCTCGAGAGTATGTTCCCAACGGGAGGCCTCTGGAAACACTGCATTGAGCTTCTCAAGTCCAGTCCCTTGCCTAACACATGAATTCCCACTGGAACATCTATGCAGAGAGGCCAGCCTCCCCTTGAATTCCTCCCGAGGCAGGAGCTCACCTCTCGAGCGTCAGTTTGAAAATGACCCTGTTCAAAATGAGCCCTCGCCCAGTCCATCCACTGCACCTCTTACCTGTCCCAGGCCGGCCCATGATGACTTCCTTCTTGGGGGCAGGATGGCTGGTGTAGCTGCTGGGCACCAGGACGGGCAACAGGGCAGCGGGTGAGGGGTGGAAGGCCACTGGCTGGAAGGGCGAAGAAGCCAGGCCAAAGGTGGGCATTGGTTGGGCCACAGCAGTCGGCGCGGCTGGAGGCACGGTTATGGGTACGGGGGCCGGCAGAGGTGGGGGCAGGCCAGGCTTCCCACTGGCCACCCCAGGGGGCACCGGGGTCTCTCGGCAACCCCGTCCAGGTCCTACAGCCCGAGTCTCCCCAGCAGTGCCCACCTCCCCAGGAAATTTGGAAGGTAGTGGCACGTCAGGGTTTCGGACAATAACAGGTGAGTCCCGTTGCACAGCAGGCACCCTGCGCACAGAGGGTCCAGGATCCGAGGTGAGGCCAGCAGGTGGGGGCAACAGCAGCAATGGTGAGGGCTGGCGGGAGCGGGAGAAGGGCACAGCAGGCGACACAGCCCGGAAGCCTGCCGGTGTGGAGGGTGTAGGTGTATGGGACACTGAGTCCACACCAGAGTCTAAGCTGTCACTCTTCGGGAAGTCTGGGGTGGCTCCTCCACCCCCTGTACCAGGGGTTCCCAATGCCCCTGGGTGGGGCAGCAGCTCTGTCTTCCGCCGCCCAGGGCTGATGGGCACGGTGAAGGTCAGGTTGGTCTGGAAGGTAGGTAGGATGCCGGAGGAATGGCGCTCTCGGGGGGCAGGTGGCGGTGGGTGGGGGCCCAGATCTGGTGGCGTCAGCACACCTGCCTTAGGGGTACTGGCACTCAGGTGGCGACTTCGAACAGCAGTGCGTTGGATGACGGGGGACGCATTGATGGGGCTGAAGTTGGCGGGACGAAAGCCGAAGAGTGGCGATGGTGAGGGTGAGGGTGCTGGCGAGAAGGGTGACTGTGTAGAGACCGGGGAAAAGGAGGGCGTGCCGGAACGGGAGCTGCCCAAGGATACTAGCATCACTGCTGCCTCACACTCATCAAACTCAAAGCGTGACAGGTCAGTGGGCGCTACCAGACGTGGGCGTGAGTCTCCACGAGCCGCCACACTGCTGGCCTCACTGTCCCTCGATGTCTCATCACCCCAGTCAAATTCGGTGCTGCCCTCCCGAGCTGCCACTCCAGCAGGCCGCCCAGCCCCACCTGGGCCACTGTCAGCCAGGCCTTCCATCTCTTTGGTTCGCATGGACAGGTGGCGGGAGCAGTAGCCCCGTCGCTGAGACTCCTTCATGCAGCCATCTCGGGAGCACAGCCGCCGCCACTGTTTGCCATTGAATTTCTTCCGGATTCCGTTAGGCGTGCAGACCACGTCGCCCTTCTTGTACTTCTGCTGGGCTGCTGTCAGTGGTGTGCGGGCCCGGGAAGCTGGCGCAGTCCCCTTCTCCAAAGAGGCCACGCTGCTGCTCCGGCTGCCACCCTGGCTCCCCTCCTGGCAGGGTGAGGGCTGCTCTCCAGGGCGGCCTGGGCCTGCGAAGGCTGGGGATTTGGGTGGCGGTGACAGGAGTTGGGGTGGGGGCAGTGGGAGCAGGGCCGGGGTGCCCTGGGATGGTGGGTGCTTCTCCTCGCCCTCCCCACAAGCCCCCAGACTGCCACCAAAGCTGATCTTGGAGACCTCAGCATCCTCAGGCTGCTTGGGGTCCAGGGCAGCAGGGCAGGGTGGCAGGGAGGCCCCTGGCTCAGCCTGTTCCTCCTCAGGGCTGGTGGGGGGCTTCCTTGACAGGGCTTCAGGTTCCCATGGGGGCCGAAGCAGGCGAAGGCTGGAGCGGGCCACCCATACGGCCTCCTCGGGCTCATGATGTGACGGCTGCGATGGCTGTGGGAGGGTGGTTGGTGGGCCTGGCTGGGAGCCAAGGCCAGGGCTGAGGCGGACCTTGTAGGCAGCTGGCTTGGTAGCCACCTCCACCACCACACCTTCACGGTAGGCAGCCACGCCAGGCTCCACACAGGTACAGACAGCCGTACCCACCACCAGCGCACCTGGTGGCGGTATGGCATCCAAAACCACATCCACACCACTGCCGGGTGCCCCCTCGTAGAAAGTCAGGGCCCGGTCCCCTGGGAACTGCACACCCAAGTCCTGGCTTCGGCGCACCTGGCGCACCACAGCGGGCAGGAAGAGGCCATCCCCACGTCGCGCCAGTACCCGCTGGGATCGCAGCTGCCGCAGGTCATAGCTGCCACTGGTGCCACCCAGGGGCCATGGCCCTGGCCCACAACCTTCAGCTGGTTCATCTTCCAGGTCAGCCGAGTGCTCGCTGGCTGTGTCAGTGGAGGAGGAACGGGCGGAGGTGGGTGGCCGTGGAGGAACACCCAGGGCGCTGGCTTCCTCAGGGGTCCCGGCCCGTTCCTCAGGGACCCCAGCTGCTCCGCCGCTGCCACTGCCAGCACCATGCTCTTCCACATACTTCTTTTTGGGTGCTCGTGACTTGAACGTGGCCGTCTTCCGGCTGAGTGGAGGCTCCCAGCGGCCAGCCTCACCCTCTGCCTTGGGGTCCTCGGCTGGGCCAGGGGTGGGGTCATCAGGGCCCGGCTCTAGGGGGAGCCCCTCACCCCCTGAGCCCTGCTGTGCCTCCTCCTCCTCCTCCTCAGCCTCTTCTGGGCCTGGCCGCTGCTGAACCTCATCGTCCTCTTCCTCTGGCTTGTCACCCTCCCCAGCCCCTCGCCGCCTCAGGGCCTTGGCCCTGGTGGCTGGTGGGGACTTGCCTCCGCTGCCAGGACCTGGGAGGCCAGCACATGCTTTCTTCATTGGCTTCATCGTTTGCCCACCTGCAGGTGGAAGGGCAGAGAGGGGTCATTGGGAGCAACTTGGGAATCCCCCAGGCCTAGCAACCCCCAAGAGTCCCCCTTTGCTGAGGTCCCCGCCTGAACTCCATGATTCCTGAGGTCTCCTTCCTGGCTGTCCCCCATGGGCCCCTGGCCAGCAACTAGACACAGAGTGGCACCCATGTTCCATGATCTATTCACTCTGGCTCCTCGGGGACACTCACATACATCTGCTGCCTCTGCGGAGGACACAGCAGGCACAAGCACACACTCTGACTGCCCCAAGGCAACGCAAGAAGTAGTAACGGCTCACACCCATGAAGCACTCACTTTGTGCCACCCCGGGGCTAAACTTGCCTTTATTAACCCATTTCATCCTCGCAACAGTTCTAAGAGGCAAAGGCTACTAACAGCCCATTTCACACTTGCGGGAACTGGCACAGAAACATCAAGTAACTTGTCTAAATTAATCTAGCTATGAACAGAGCTAGGGTCTGAACCCAGGCATTCTGGCTCCAGAGTCTGTCCTCCTAACCATCTCAGTGTGCTGTCTGTCAGATGATTCAGAGGGCACGCTTCCTTGCACTGTCACCGTCCACAGAGTGCACACACTCACACACACACACAGCCACAGAAAGGGGGGTGACTGGGCTGTGATGTGAGCCTCTCTCCACATCCCTCTGCCCCACCCTACTGAGCAGCCTGGCATGGCCAGGCATTGAGGGAAGGAGTGGGCAACTGAGAGTCCTGAGGAACAGCTGCCCACTCTGCTCTGCACCCCGGGCCTGCCAGGTAGAGCCATCTCCCCAGATCCTGGCAGGGAGCAGGCAGGGGCACGTCTGAGGCAAGAGCTCATACCCAGCACTGCCACGGGGCCGCGCATGAGCACACACATGCGCACAAACACACACACACACACACACACACACGTCATCACACAGTGGGACATGGAGCTATACCCCAGGGGTTCCCTATCCCACTGGATCGGAGCCTGCCCTCCCCCCATAGCACCCAGTGTTATACCCACAAGCCCAGCCCCCTCTTGTGGCCTGCATGTATCCCCACCCTACTAGGCTGGCTGGGCTAGCTCTGGCAAGGTGGCTGAGCTGGCCAGGCCCCCCTAACCCCTAAATGTGCCCCCTGACTCCAGGTTGGGGTAAGTCAAAGAAAGCAGGACAAGCCCAGCTGGCTAACCTCACCCACTTCCTGAATAGTCATTACTGCCCGCCCCCTTTCAAGCTACCCTGAGAAAAGGGAAAAAACTTTACTCTGAAGTGACTAAGAGAACCTGAGGAGCTGAAAGGGGGCCTTGGGTGTTTGTGGAGGGAGGGGGGGTGTTGAAGGAGCCCTGGACTGTAAACCAAACATATCAGAGGCACCCCTAGTAGGGGTCCCTGACTCAAGTCTTCAGGGACCCCTGACCTCATGCTCTTCTACTTAAGGCCTGCTGCTCCTGTGGACCCTATAGTCCCAGGCTGCCCCTTCCCTGAGCCAATCCTGTGGTCCTCATAGGCAGAGCCTGGAGGGCCCGGGGTTTCTCAAACTGAGGAAGGCAACCAAGTGCCCAAGAGTTGGGCAGCCGCCACCACCACCTTCTCCCCACTGACCCACTAGGCAACCAACCTGGGGAATGAAATCCAGCCCCAATCCTGGCCAAACACAAACCTCTGCATACTCCACCAGGGCCTACAACAGTACTGCCTGGCACCCCTGGACCCTACTGCCTGGCCCAGCCTCTCCACCCCAGAAGCCAAACCTCTTTCTTTCCCCTGAGGCCTACTCTCTTCCTGTCTACCCTTCTCTGGATAACTCCCACCCTAGGCCCTGTGGACCCTAACCCCCATTAGAATCTGAGCAGTAACTCCTGAAGCCCAGGTCAGCCCAGGCCTTGGCCCTTCAGAGTCTCATGCCCTCTGCTCCCAACAGCCCTTCTGGCACCAGCTTCTCTGCCACTCTCTCTCCCATCCTGTCACCAACTCTATCTCTACCTCTCTCTTCACAGGCCCTAGGCCCCCTCCTTAG